GCACGCACTCACCATCGCTGCGGTTCCGCGGGCTCGCCTCCCCTCAAGACGCGCCGCCGACGGACGTCAGAGAAGGAGCGCTCAATCCACCGCAAAGTCTCACGGAAGTAGTGGAAATGGCCGCGCGTGCGGCCGGAAGCGGAAGTGATGTCACTGAAAGTGGGCGGGCCTCGCCCGCTCAAGAGCCAGCGGGCAGGGGTGCGTGGAATGGCTTCACTCAGTCCTGGGCTTGGGGCCTCATTTTGCTGTTTTTTGTTTGTTTGTTTGTTGTTGTTGTTTTTACCACCATTCTACATTACAGGCAAAGACAAGTTAAACCTTAAAAAAAAATACACCAAAACAAAGAGTTTCAATGGTGACATTATTCCATTGCCGGCTTATGTTTCAGCACATTCTTGTATTTAAAATCATCTTTTTGACTCATCACCGGAGAGGGAAAGGTATGGGGATAATGATAAGTAATCCTAAATGTTTTTCTTCATGTTCAGCTATCCGGGTTAAGATTTCTGAAAGGGCGTGGGATCCACCAGAAATGGAATCAATTGAGTAGGGAATTCAGGAAGGAGCAGGCTTGGGGGTGGGGTTGAGTTTCTGTCAGGTTGAGTTTGGAGATGTCCTAGGACAGCCATGTTCTTCTGCCCAGCATACTGTTCTTTTCTCTATGCTTCTCCGACTCTCCGTTATTTAAGGCTAGACTCACGCCTCCCCACTTCCGGTAGGTCCTGTCTGATGCTTATGGCCCTTACTCATCTTTCTCCAACATGATGTCAGGCATATCTTAGGACCATTAAGGACTCATTTCAGTAATTCCTTTGGAAACCTAGAAGTAGAGGACTGGCAGGACCCTTAGGAATCATACAGCCCAGCCCCTTCATTTTACAGACACTGAGGCCCAGAGAGGGGAAGCTGCTTACCCACCATCACAGAGTGAGGCAGTGGCAGAGCCAGACTGGACCTTGGCATTTTGGGCTCTTAGCCTGGGTTAGTTTCACCAAATCTAATTGCCCTGCTTGAGATGAACTGTGGCCTTGGACAACAGATGGGTTTGAACTGGCTCCAGGACTGAGCATTTATTACATGAAAAATCCCTCCAGCAAACTTCACCTCACGCAAATCATATATGACTGTCAAAGGACAAAATTTGTCTCCAAATTAAGAAATGTCTATTGATGGCTCCTCTTTAAGTGCAGGACCTGTGATGCAGACTCTGCTCTTCACCTCTCTTGGATCCTGTTTCCTGTTATCATATTAATTGGACCTACCCCCCACCACTGCTGGGGGAATGAAACCTTGTTATTCCAGTTTAATAGATGTGTTCTTATCATTTGCTTTTTTATGTCTTTTATAACAATTCCTGCTTGTTATTTGGCCTACCTGGCATCTTGGGCCATCATATTCCAGATCTGATAGGGACTTGATGTTTTCATGACCAAGAGTAACGAGACCGTATATTTTACCTAATTAATCAGTTTCCCAACTATATAATTACTCAATTTCCATGTTCTCTCAGAACTAGCCCACCCTTTTGTATCTTGCTGTTTCCCTCACTAGTAAGTTAATAAATATTGACATATGATCAGGATCAACTTGCCTTAGGAATTTGTCTTTTACCACACTTCTGTCCTTAAAAACCTAAATCCTTGCCATGGCTTATTAGACCCCTTAGTACTCTGCCTCATCTGCATGTTATAGCCCATTCACCTTCATTTTTTTTCTTTTATTTTTTAAAAATATATTTTTATTGATTTCAGAGTGGAAAGGAGAGGGAGAGAGAGAGATAGAAACATCAATGGCAGAGAATCATTAACCAGTTGCCTCCTGCAATGCCCCACACTGGGTATTGAGCCAGCAATCTGGGCATATGCCCCGACCGGAAATTGAACAGTGACACCCAGGTTCCTAGGTTGATGCTCAACCACTGAGCCATGCCGCTGGGCCTCACCTTCGTTTCTACCCTGAGCACACCCAATACCTCCAACCCCTTTCATCACCCTCTGTTGGGAGTGATGTGCTCCACAGTTCTGAGTAGCTAAGTCCTATTCATCATCTCTTTAGTGAAGCCTTCCTGATCACCCAGACCAGGTAATTTCCCCTATTAGGCGCACCCACAAGCCCCTGTACTTGCCATTTGTACCACTCATTGACCTTGTCTTTATTGTGTTCACTGTTCCAACCACGCAGAGCTCTATGAGAGCAGGATTTGTAGCTGCTTTGGACGCTGCGGCTATCTATCTTCTGGCACTACGCCTAGCCCAAAGGGAATGCTTGTTTCACTTAGGGACCTCTGGTAGCAAGCAAGCAAAAGGAATTTGGGAAAATATTCTGTGGTGCAGCCCAGAGGTTCAAGGGGAGCTGATTGTGAGAATAGGACCATCCTACAGTCTCACTCCACAGGCAATGTCCTCCAGCCAGAGACCACCAAGAACACACCTATAGCGGTATTACTCATTGCAACAAGGGAGAATGCACACCATGAAGAACGGTGGGACTTTTCAATAAGAGGGTGTTAGAAAAGACGTAATATAGGATTTGGGCTTGTGTTTGGTGATTTTAGGGGGTATTCAAGGAAGTGGCATTTGCTCTAGATTAGACAATGTCAGGAAGTAATCCTGTGGTGGGGCATTATGATAAATTTTATCTACAAGGTGGAAGAAATGAACTGAGGCTAAAGCTGTAATTGAGAAAGTCACTCACTCATATTAGCCAGGATAAGAGGATGTTTGGTTATTTTTGCAGTTTCAACAATGCTCATGTTTTTGTCTACTAGTGTGTTCAGACATGATTAAAGAGTGGTCTTTTTTTGGTCTTGATTCTCACAGTTAGAGTGGCTTTGTCTAATATTGATGTTCTATGAAATTAGCAGTAAAACACCAAGGCCCAACTATGAGTACGAGGCTAGCTCCTAGCAACATCAAGGCCTAACTGGTAGAGCTGGGTCAGCTCCTCGCTGCCATGAGCTGCTTTTCTTTTTATCATCAGCTTCCTATACCTACTTTGAATCTTTGTTCTTGATGTTTAGAGCCCTGGAGGAAAGAGCCCATTTGGCCAAAGTTAGGTCACTCCTCCACTCCTTGGCTGTCTTAGGTCTGTGAGAGAGTGCCAGTATAAACTGGGGTGACATTCAGCCAGGATACATTGAGTGGCATATTTAGTTTGTAAAATAGAGAAATACTTCCCAAATGGTTGGTTAAATCGATGATTCCACTCTCCCAAGACCCCACAGGCCACTTACAACCCAGGTATTAAAGGGTTAAGGCCTGGCCCATTTTGATTGGCTGATATCCCTGTCTGCTCTGTTACTTAATAATTTGAATATAATCTTTAGGTGAAAGACAGTAGCATTTATTCAGGGTAGCATCTCCCATCAACACTGATCCTGAGATGGGAAAAGTAATTTGGGGTGGTGAAACAAGAGTATATATGTTTAATACAGTGTTCATTAAGTGTTTGATATTGGATAGACATGGACAAATGTATAAAAGTATCTAATAGGAAGACAGAAATAAGCAGACTACAGGTTACATCACCCATCATCCATGGGGGAACTTATCTCTTCCTTCAAAGGACAAATTCTTCTTCCTCTTAATTCCTGTGGGCAGTCCCCCCGCGCTGCCCTTACCTGCACTGAACTCAGTCATGTTAGGTAGCTCGTGTGCCGGGCTCAGCAGCTGGAGCTGAGGCTGGGGCTGAACTGGAGCATCAGGCTCCTTTGTGAGGTGTCCTCAGTGACAGAGGTGCTGTGAGGCAGGGGTACCCCACCCCAACCTGGCTGGGATAGCCACACCAGTCCTGCCCTTCAACTCCCTGATGCCACCTGCCTGACCTAAGCTTTTCATGCTGTTGCCACTGCTGGGCGCCTGTGCGGTGGTGGGGCCATTCCAGGGCCCTGAGTGAGAGCCAGTGAGGGGCCTGCTCTCTGGGGATCAGAGCTGCAGGGACCCTCGGGGATGCGGCAACCTGCTTGCCCTCTGCCTCTTTGTGATCTAGCAGGTCCGGCACCATTGGCACCAGATCATCAGGACACCCCCCAGCATGAGGAATGTCATCAAGGTGAGGGGTCCCACGTACCTCCTTCCCTCAGTCATTTGTCACCAAAACCCTGTCCTATGGCTTGTGTACAGAATCATACTGGGGAACTCAGACTGGTCAGGGAGCACGTCCTCCTGCCCCAAGCCCAGTGGTCATCCTGGGCTCCTCTCTTCCTCCCTCCACATACCCAATCCATCTACAGGTCCCACGGCTCTGCTTGCATCCCGCATCTCCAGTCGGAGCACTCCTCAGAACCGCACCACACCTTCCTGGTCAAAGTTCCCTTGTGTCTCACCTGGACTTTCCCACCACTTCTCTCACTCAGCCACCGTCAGGGCTCCACGCAGCCAACAGAGCAGAATGACCTTCTTTCTCTTTCTTTTAAAAATTTAATCTAAGGAAAATGTACACACACAGACTCTAAGTGTATATAGGTCAAGGAATGTTCACAAACTGAACACATGCATGTGCAGCACCCAGGTTAAGAAACGGACCATTACCAACAGCCCAGAAGCTTGCAGTCACAAGTCTGCTGATTTCTAATAGCACAGACTGTTGTGGAATCATACAATAAGTTTTCTTTTTGCACCCAGTTTATGCCTAACATTGTGCTTAGGAGCCAGAACACACTTTTAAAAACAGATCGTAGCACTTTGCCACTCAAAACCCAGTAATGGCTTTTTAAAAAAAAAAAAAAATATATATATTTTTTATTGATTTTAGAGAGGAAGAGAGATAGATAGAAACATCAATGATGAGAGAGAATCACTGATCTGCTAGGTCAAGGAATGTTCACAAACTGAACACATGCATGTGCAGCACCCAGGTTAAGAAACGGACCATTACCAACAGCCCAGAAGCTTGCAGTCACAAGTCTGCTGATTTCTAATAGCACAGACTGTTGTGGAATCATACAATAAGTTTTCTTTTTGCACCCAGTTTATGCCTAACATTGTGCTTAGGAGCCAGAACACACTTTTAAAAACAGATCGTAGCACTTTGCCACTCAAAACCCAGTAATGGCTTTTTAAAAAAAAAAAAAAATATATATATTTTTTATTGATTTTAGAGAGGAAGAGAGATAGATAGAAACATCAATGATGAGAGAGAATCACTGATCAGCTGCCTCCTGCACGCCCCCTACTGGGGATCGAGCCCGCAACCCAGGCATGTGCCCTTGGCCGGAATTGAACCTGGGACCCTTCAGTCCACAGGCCGATGCTCTAACCACTGAGCAAAAACAGCTAGGGCCCCAGTAATGACTCTTAAGGACACACTCCCCATCAAACTCAGGATAAAATCCAAACTCCTCACCCTAACTCCAAGGACAGCATGATCTGTCCCTCCATTTCTCTCTGACACCATCTCCCGGCATTTCCCTCGTTACCCATTCCATTCTGGCCTCAGGGCTTCCTTGCTGTTCTTGTGCACGTGACCTGGTTCTGTCTTCAGGGCCTTTGCACTAGTATCTCCTGTGCCTACAATGCTCTCTCTTCAGATGTTACTTGGTTTGCTTCTCACTTCCCTTAGGTCTCTAGTCAAATGCCACCACCTCTGAGAGATCTTCTGTGACTGTCCGTCTAATGGAGCTAGCCCTACTCCCTTAATGCTTTTGTTTCCATCAGAACACTTTTCCATAGCTAACATTATGCTGTATACTTGGCTATTGTCTCTCCATGTCTAGAAGATAGCTCCCAGCAGAGACTTTATTTTGTTCATGCTGGTACCCCCACCATCTATTCTAGAATACTGTGTGGCCTGGAGTAAATGTTTTATCTTTTATGAATGAATGACTACTGTTTGCCCTAAGGGAAATGACTCCCCCTTTCCTGAGCGCCAGCATCTTCGTCGGGATAAAGGGGATTGCAATTCTGATCTGTGAGGATTAGACGAGAGAATGTGTGCACGCATTTTGCTTCTCTGTTCTCACCTGCAGGTACCACCACAGAAGTGGACAGTGCCCTCCATGAGACATGACACTTGTTTGGACCCGACGCCTAAATTATTCTTCAGTTCTGGCAGGTTCAGGGCCCTGGATGCTCATGTTCAACAATGGGCACAAAAGAAGAGATGGGAATACTGGAGGAGCCTCCGGGCATCAGGGGCTCAATACCTGCTCTCTTGGCAGCACCCATGTCAGTGTCCACGTTGGGATTCCCATACCCCTTCTGAGACCAACTTTTGTACCACCTGCTTTTCAAGCACCTGCATGCTCCCTCAGGACAGTTCTTGGGGTATATGGCAGGTACCCTGGTGTCTCAGTGATGAGCACCCTCACCTGACCCACAAGCCACTGCTCCCTGACCCGGACATGTATCATCAAAGGATGGAGCAACCGCCGGTCCACTCCCAGGTAGAGTTATTGCCATTGGAGCCTATTGTCAGCATGGGGTCCCATTCCACCACCAGGACTTTAACCACTGCTCTCCCTTCATCTCAGAGGCTGCAGTTCTGCTCTGGAGAATTCCTGCCTTTTCCTTTCAACCATCAAGTGGGACTACCCACCTGGAAGTCCTGGGACTGTCCACAAGAGGCCTGGACACCAGGGAGTGAAAACCCAATACTAAGCAGAGAGGATATTGGAGAGACCCAGGCTCCAGAGTGGGCAAAACAGAGAGAGAGCAGCCAGGAGGATGCCGCGGAGATGAAGGCATCTGGAAGGCAACTCCCAATAAACTTTGGGATGAAGAACAATGCAGAGACTAAGGTCCTGGAGTGGACAAGCCAGAGACTAGCGATGAGTAAAACTGGTGGAGAGAACCTGACGGCAGGGTGGGAGAACTGGGACCACATGGGAGTTGAGAATAGAGCCCAAACTCAGGAGCCAGGGAAGAGAAACCAGAGGGAGGCTAGAGGTGAGATTCTTCCTGAAAGCCAGGCACATAAAGCAGAGAACCAGGAAGAGTCAAGATATAAAATTAATGCAGAGACCCAGACCCAAGGACCGGGGAACCAGGGCCAGACTGGAAGTGAGAATGGTGAGGAGTTCCAGGTGCCACAGAGGGGAAAACAAGACCAGATTAGAGGTGATACTGGTACAGAAATTCAGGCAGAAGAGAGGAGAAACAAGGACCAGGTTGGAGTTAAGAATGTTGTGCAAACCCAAATATATGGGAGGGAGAACCTGGGAGAAGTAAAACAAGAAAATGGTGTAGCGCTCCAGGCACTGGGGTGGGGAGAACAGGAGTGTGTTGAAAGTGAGAGTGTTACAGAAATCCAGACACCAGGGTGGGAAAAGCAGGATCAGGGCAAAAGTGAGAAAGCTGGGGGAGAGATCCAGAAACAACTAAGACATGAACTGCAAGTGGGGTGGAGTGAGCAAGCCCTGAGAAGAAGCAAGGATGCTGGGGAAACCCAGACATCTAAAAAGAAGAACCTCAGGGAGATAAGAGGGGAGGATTGGGTTGTGATCCAGATAGCATTGTGGGAAAACCAGAAACCAGTGGCAAGTGAAGTTGACAGAGAATTTGAGATACCATATTGGGGGAATCAGGGCCAGATTGGAGCTGAACGTAGAATAGAAATGCAGGCACCAAAGAAGGGAGACCAGAGAAAGGACAGAGAGGAGGATGGCATACATACCCTGGCACCTGAGGTAGAGAACCAGGGACAGATAAGAGATGAAACTCATGTAGACACCCATCCACCAGACAGGAGGAACCAAGAGCAATTTGGAGATGAGACTAGTATAGACATTCAGTTGCCAGAGATGGAAAACATGAGAAGGGTTAAAGGTGAAGATAATAAAAAGACCCAGGAACTTGGGGAAGAAAACCAAGGTCAGTTATGCAATGAAATTAATGGAAAATTTTACACACCAAAATGGAAGAATCAGGAACACATTAAAAGCAAGGATGCTGCAAAAACCCAGGCATCTGATGCACAGAACTGGGGAGAATTAACAAATAATATTGATGGAGAAACTCATTCAGCAGAATGGACGAAAGAGGAGCAAGCTGGAGGTGAGAATGGCACAGAAATTCAAACCCTAGAGAAGAGAAACCAAAGAGAACCTGGAGGTGTAGAGACCCAGACACCTGAAAGAGAGAACTTGGAACAGTTAGATCAGGACATTGGAGAGAACCAGTCACCAGGGAAGAGGAACTGGGAGCAGAGTGGAGGAATGAATGATGCAAAAAGTCAGACATTGGAGAAGAGAAACCAGAGAGAGGTTGGAAGCAAAGATGGTAGAAAGATCCAGAGACTTAGAGGCATGAACCTGAGGCGGTTAAAACGTAAAGTTAATGGAAAGACCTGCGCATCAGAGTGGGAGCACCAGGAGCAGATTGGAGAGGAGAATGGTGCAGAAATGCAAATACAAGGAAAAAGAAACCCAAGAGAGACCACAGGTGGTGATGGCAGAGAGACCCAGACACAGTTAAGAAGTCATATTGATGGGAAGATCCAGATACAAGGGGAAGAGAACCAGAAAAGGGGTAGAGATGAGGATGCTGCAGACATCTGGGATGGAAGGAGCCAGAGAAAGTACAGAGCTGAGGACGCTGGAGAACCTGGAGTTCCAAGGGGAGGAATCAAGGACCAGGTCAGAGAACGGGATGCTGCTAAAGGCAATCCCCGAGTTGACTGTTCTGGGGATGAGGGGCTCCTCATCCTCACTGGCTCTGGGTACGGGGCCCTGGACCAGGAACAAGTAGTGGCCTCTGTTACCTGTCCTGAGATGAAGCCTCTAGCACACCAGGCTGAACTCTTCTTGCTCTCCAGTGGGGAGGGAAAGCATTTGGCCAGCCAGAACATGGCCCCTGCCAGAGTGGGCATCAGTCCAGCCTTCCTGCAGGCCCCGTCCAAACCCCCGAGAAGCCGACAAAGGGACAAAAGAGTGGATGCAAGTCTGGCTTGGCAGCTCCAGAACCCACAGTCTCTGGCTGTTTCCCTGAACTTGCTTTCTTCCTACCCCTCTGACTCATGTGGCCAAGCCCCCCAAGATGCCATAGCTCTGGTGGGTGTTCCTATTGCCCTCACTGTCCTGCCCAAGTGGCCAGTCCTCAGGAAGAGCCAGCAACTACTCCTGGAGGCCCTCATGCTGCGGAGGATTGAACACCTGAAGTGGGGCCTCCCCCAGCGGATCCTGGAGTCCCATTTGCTCTTTAACTCGTTAGATCCCTGCCTACTGCCCTTTCCGGGGGTGCAGCTCCCTGGATTACACACAGCCTGTGAGCTCCAACAGCAGCAGGAAAGGCTTTGTGAGGCTCAGGGCTCCAGGCCAGGCCTTACGTCCCCTGAGAAGTCCCAGAGGGTTCAACCCCCAGCAAGAAAAAGCTCAAACCTTTCCTCACAGGCCAGCGCTCTGGAGAAGTGTGGGCCACAGGGATCAGAGCCCGAGGGCACTTCCATCCATCTCCCCAACCCTTTGACAGTCAGGCCACCAGGGGGCTCTATAGAAAGACAGGCTGTCCAGGAGGAGGCTCCTCCTAGCGCCGAGCTTCCTGCTCCCAGGAACCCTAGGCCCGCAGCAGAGTCTAGGAACTGGACCGGCCAGGAAAGTGTTGGAGATCCTTCCAGTGAGAAAATGGTCAGGCCAGGAGTCTCCCAGATGTCAGCGAGGGCTCCCAGCAGAGTGGGAACCTCATACCCCAGGGCAGGCCATGAGCACCGACAGGAGGAGAGCGAGTCCCAGGAGGCCTCTGAGCACCCCAGTCTCCAATGTCAGCAGCCCCCACAGCAGAGCAGAGAAAGCCTGGAGGGCAGAGGGGCTGAGCTGCAGTCTTCCCCCTGCTCCAAAGACACCTCCAGCTTCAAGGGGAGTCTCCGCTCTGCCACAAGGAGCCTGAGCGTAAACTGTCTCAACGAGACATCCTGGGCCCCACAGCTGGCCAAGCCCCAGCACTCAGCCCCCAACCTGAACCTGAGGGGTTCTGATCCTCCCCTGCTCCCCAAAGTGGGTGACCCACATGGAAGGGAGAACAGCATCGGGGTCCACACTTCTTCAAAGAGGGACCTTCAGCCACCAGGTCACTGCTGTGCTGGTGCCGCTCTTCCCAAGACAGAAAGCCTCCAGGGTCAAGGGGAACCTGAAAACGCAACTGGGGCCCCACGGAATCCACCAGCCTCCAAAAAGCTTGACCTTTTAAAGCATTTGAGGTGTTTTCTGCTCCGGCATCGCTTTAGAAAATAGGCTGCAGGCCCAGAGTCCTCAGAACACATTGGAGAAGGCATGAGAGTAGCCTGTTTGCCCCCAAAGCCTCCAATAAAATTGATTACTTGGAACCAGTAGGGTGCTGATTTTGTTGGCACCTGTTTTCTAAGTGCCCCCTTTTGGGGTTTGGGATACTTTGTGGGTGGGGTAGAAGCCACTTTTACTCTATGGTTTTGAAGGTTTGGGGAATGTGGGTCAGCCCAGCGTCATCTCCCAGCAGTTCCCCTCCCCAGCTCCTCACAGTAGGGTTACTGAGGTTTCTACCATGGTTCTGTCCTGCCCTATTCCACGCTAATTATGATCGAGATGAAATGCTCAGACGGCCTCAGCTGCTTGCGGGGAGGGTTAGTGCTCTGCAGTGGGAAGCATTATTCACGTCCTTTTGGTCACAGGAAGGGGGCTGATCACCGGGCATCTCCCGGCTGGGATTCTGCTGCCCATGAACAGACTCCACAGAAAAACCATCCCCACCTCTCCAATTCTCAAGCACTGCCAACCATAATTACTTGTTGCTTTGCCTGGCCCACCTGTGGGACATCCTGGAGCTAATTATTTGTTTTAATCAAGAGTAAAACTTCTGAGCCAAAGGTTCGGGCTGATTCAGTTTCTAGTGAGAGCTTTCTTCCTGGCTAGAAAATGGTCACCTTCACACTATGTTCTCACATATCCTCACACGCACTTTCCTTGGTGCATGTACATGGAGAAGTTGAGAGATCTGTTTCTCTTCCTCTTCTTCTTCTTCTTCTTCTTTTTGTGTGTGTGATATCTACACTAATAAAAGAGAAACATGCAAATTGGTGTCACACCGCTACCCTTCCCATTGGCTAATCAGGGCGATATGCAAATTAACTGCCAGCCAAGATGGCGGCCAGCAGCCA